AAAAAAAAAAAATAGACGAACAAAACACTCTTCGCATTGCAAAACGGCATCAAAAAAAAAAAAGAAAAAAAGAAAACAAGAACAATAACAATAATGATCTTGGCGACGGCAGAGTCCGCCGTTTCTGTCACTTGGAACAGAAAAATAAATGTGAGGATCCTTTCCCGTGTCATTTTGGTGCGTGATGCGTGGAACCGTCTTCTTCGCCAGCACCAGGTTCTGTGGAGGGATCTGCCGCTTCTGTCGGGGTATCTGGCAGTACACCGCGATCCTTTAACAATCGCTCAACAAACTCGGGTGGATTTGGCGCATCATAATATGGATACGCCTTTAGACGGTACGAACGTGGATCCACTGGAACTTCAGTCCCAATGCTTGGCGGTGGTGGTACAATTTCAGTAAAGGGAACGGCTCGTTCTTTATTGAATTCCATTAGCCATCCTGGAACATCAGCAAAATCGATTTGTACTGGTCGTGTAGTGGTTTCACCGTGGAAAGTTATATACCCATATGCAGTTCCTTTGTTTCCATCACGATTAAAATCAACAGCTGAAAGTGTAACATACTTATCATATGTTCCTTCTTGCCATTCTTTTCTGTAAAATCTTTGTCCCCGACCATTAAATTCTACCTGAGATGCCAACTGAAAAATATTTTTTCCTGTTGATGTGTTAAATTCATATGTAGCCACTGTAGCTTTTAGTACTTCAAGTGGATCCACTTGTGAAGCTCGATCAATGTTTTCCACATCTACCAATTGAACTCCATCTAATATAATCTTTTCCTTGGCATTTAAAACAACACCTGGAAAGTATTCTTTCGCAGCCGTCCAGGGCATACGTCTCCGATGCGGAGCAGGTGACAATTTCATTCCCTTTGAACCTAGTGTCATAGAACTGCCTCCGTTAAGGCCATCCGAACGGCGAAGAACCCAAGCGAGTCGCAACATTTGTAGTACCTACAATAATAATAATAACAAAAAAAAAACAAAAAAAAAAAACCCTTCTCTCCTTCCCCACCCAACGAAGGAACAAGAGATCACTTTTCACCCTTTTCACATAGGAGGAGGAGGAGGAGGAGGAGGAGAAAAAAAAAGAATGTGGTAAAAATGAGAAAAAAAAAGCAAAAATAAATAATAATAAAAAAACAAAAACAACAATATAAAAAAAAAAAAATGAGTTCACTTTATTTTCTCATGATATTGCAATCAAAACGGAGAGAAAACAAAGAAACAAAATCAAAAAAAAAAAAACAACAAAAAAACACCAGAGCACATGACATAGTATAACATAACGTACGCACAAAAAGAAAAAAAAGGCGATAGACACCTTTTTCTTTTCTGCTCATCGGAGTATGTATATTTGTTGTGTATTCGCAAGAAAAAAGAAAAAAAGAGCAGTACAAGCTGTACCAAAGCGAAGGATATATATATTGGTATATATATATATATATATATAGATATGTATAAGAGAAATTTCTTTGATAGAGGGAGAGAGAAATTACTGAAATGGTTCATAAAACATCACTTATGAAGTTTGGGGTCAACTACCAGAGTATCTTTTTTTTTTTTTTTTTTCAAATCACTTACTCTACTTTAGGTCGTTTAACTCCTTTATAAACACCTCAGGACGAAGTATTGATGTTCCTCCAATAATTACCTCCCGTCCCAATTTTTTTGAAATCTCATAAGCAGCACGCATTTCACCACACGTCACACCACCCAAAACGAATACTACAATACGCTGATTACTTGTAAGAGTAACACTACCTTCTGCTCCACCCGCTAACTCAAGTATACCAGTTTTCTTTCCAGTGTTTCGGGGTGAGGATAATGTCAAAGAAAATTTACCACCACCACCACCACCATTTCCATCTTCCGCACCAAGTGAAGCATCACGTCTCATTGCTGCTAATGCCAATCCCATACGAAGCGTTTTCTTTCCACCTGCTGAGTCACCATGCATTCCAGTTCCCCCTGCAGACATCATAGATTCATATGGAGAGTTAAGTACAGGATAGTCTGCAGTGCTTAGTGTATTCTTTGCCAAGGCTTCCATAATGAGATATGCTTGATTAATAAATGGATCACCATCTAAGCCTTCTGCATCACCAGTGGCACTGCTCCCCATTTTCTTTTTTTGATCCATCTCAGCACTTTCCTTTCGAAGTTTTCCAACTCTACTTGTTATACGATCAATATTAGCAAACTGTGAAACATCTCCCATTATTCCACTTTCTTGAATAAGTTGTTGTTTTTTCATTTGTGAAAATTCTGTTGTATCACTACCCGCAGCTAGTAACAAAGAAAGTCGTAATCGTACACTTTGTGGTATTGTCAAGTCTTTAACTAAACGTCGAACGTTTTCAAAGTTGGTTTTAAAATTTTTTCTTCCTGCAGCAATATCTTGTTCTACTTCACATACTTCAGCAAGTCGATTCTCTCGGTAAATCGCCATAAGTTTTGTACAAATATCAATATGAAGTGATAATTTTCCTTGTTTTTCTTGAAACTCTGGTAATGCCCGAACTGCACTACCAAGTTCAGCAACATTAGCCGCTTGTGTTACACCTTGAGCAAGAGTAGGATTTTCTTGATGAAGTTTTTTTAATGTTGTTGGTAATTCTTGTAAACAATGAGCGAAGAAACGATGACGGTATTGACACCAATATAAATCTTCTTCATCAAGTACAAACTGTCGTTTGGATTCTTCTCCCAAACGATTTTTAAAACTTTGTTCATACATATTATTTTCTAGAGGCATTAAATCTTCTAATAGAGATTGATATGTACGATCATGTATAAGTGCAGCAACAGAATCAAAAGATCGATCAAGGATAATTACTATTGGGTTATTACTACCATCACTCCCATTCTTAAATTCTGGTATATCATGACATAATTTAGCAAACTTACTTAGAAAAGTTTTTGCAAATGCTTCACAAATATTACTTCTGCCTTGATAACGAATCACAGGGACACCATTATTGAGAGTATGAAAAACTGATAATAAACGAGATGCTGCAATATCTAAAACTAGTTCCCTAGAAGGAGGAAGAACTGGTGAAAAAAATTGAGGAATTTCATTTTGCATATTTAAATGAAAAACCAATGTTTCTGGAGCAGAAAAATCTAGCATCATATCTTTATAACTTTTTACCTTTGATGCCATTCGTGATTGTGCAAGTTGTTGTAAAAAACGATCTGGTGTATTGTTTAACGCAAATATATGAATCTCCTTATAAGGATCTTTTACTGACCACTCTTCAATAATACGATTTACTGATGCATCCTCAGGAACAAAAAAATATATAGCAGGACTGTTAATAATAGGTTGACGTGGTGTCATAAGATCCTCCAATAAAGTAACACCGTGTTCCATAAGTTCATGTACTCGCATACAACTATTTAATATTCGCGTTGCAGTTGAATCACAGATAAGAATTTTAAAAGAACCTGGAACAGCATCCAGCATTTGTTGGAAGAGATAACTCCGAACACAACCACGAATACCACTGGCTCTCCCTGGCTCCGATTGAATGGGCATGCTTAGGTGCTAATTAAAAGTGTGTTAATATCACTGTAAATTCATAAATATAGAAAAACAAAAAAGGACAAAAAAAAAAACATAAATAAATAACTAAATACCATAAACATACATAAGTTAATAAGAATACATAGATCCTCCTGTACCTAAATGAAAAAAAGAGAATTCAAATAAAGAGAATTTTGTAGGAATGAACCCAATAAAACATACCCGTGGTATACATTACCCAAAGAAAAAACAAAAGCGTACCACAGAAACAATCATTAAACATCAAGGAAAGAAAAAAAAAACCAGTACAATCTCCCAAATACAAAAATAAAGATATCCTCAGCTACCACCACTGCAGCCCAAACTAAGAATCATATGAAAAAAAAAAAACTAAAGTGAAAACCCCTTCAGTAAGAAATATAAAACCCCATGACTGTCAAAAGAGAAACACCAAATAAAATAAAGCACTTCCTGATCTGTCTAGAACAGAAAAAAGCAAAAAATTATACCAAACACCACAATAATACAGCAGAACACAACACAAATTCTCGAAAAAAAAAGGAGAAAAAATAAAAAAATATTTCTAACCCCACACGCACACAGCAGTGCACTTACGTTTCCCTAAAAATGTAAAAAGAAAAAATCCCACCCCATAAGACTTGCACAATTCCCCAATGAAATGAAGCCGAAGCGTGACTGTACCAGCCACCGTCGTGACGCCCACTGTCCTTATGTAAATTTCACACTTCCCAGCTCCGCGTGGGTGCGTGCACTCCGGATGGATGCATGTTCCAAGAAGATTATTCAATGATTTTTCACCCCCAAGTTCGTGTGCAGACGCGTCCACAGAAAGCAATAAATAATATAATATCTTTTTCCCTTCAGCAAAGACGTGCTGAGCCGAAATCTCAAGAATTGGGAAAAATCTCCAAAGGGACCTGTGGTCCCGAAGCACAAAAAAAAAATTAAAAGAAAAGAAAGCATTCCGCCCAATGTGCTCTCTCAATCTCTCTCTCTCTCT